AATTCCAAGTGAAAATAAAGTATTCTACAGTATTATAAATATACATCTACACTATTATTTACAAATATTTTTACTTTCATTGCTTGAATGTAATTTAATTATGATTTGAAAAATGTTATACATACAGTATCAAGATCTAAAGGTCAAATTTAATTCTATGAAAACAATATTTATTTAATATACAAATCAAGGATACATATTATGTACATTTTTTATACTTATTGTAATCATATACAAAGAATTATGTGCCTTATTTAATCAGAAAGGTGTGTTTATATAGTTTACATACCATACCGTATTTTATTGCTAAATAAATTTGAATATGTGCATTGAATGTAAATAATTGCACTGACTCAACGACTATAATTTTATCTGCAAATCATTACCCGGTACATATAGTACATCTCCGAAAATTGGTTTTGATCAAATCACAAAATAAGACATTCAAAATATAACCTATAAGTAACCTATACTGGAGTGCAAACTATCAACTGAATTATAGTTTGGAATTGGTATAGATGTGAGTAAAGTTATTCAAAGTTGACATGAAATCACCAACTTCATCTCTGAGAAACATTTAAATATCAGAATTTAGTTGATAAGATGATAAAAAAAATTGACATGCATATGTAAGTCATCATACATGCTCTTTCTATTAAGTATGAAGCAAGCAATCACTTGCCTTAAAAGGAAAGATCTGAATAGAACTTTGGTGTCTTCTTTTAATGTCGCATTATCAATGACTGCCTCCACCCTTTCACAAACTGTTGTTTCCTCCAGTGAGAGTCGATACAGAAGTGCTATAAGTCTGTATCTATATGATGGACAAAAGAATTTATCTCCTAATGATGACAAAGTCAAGTCGTGAATGATAATTTTGGACATTAATTCAGGACAGGACTGGAATAATCAGTCTAGACAAAACATTTAAATTACCTAAATATAGATCAGATGTACATGTATCATATGTACAGACCACAGGTGCATGATGTACAGTTGCCATGACAACTCATACAATAAATGCCTTCTATTTTGTAAGAAACAAATTTCACGGAAAATTGTGAAATTTTGTACTAGTGGAAATTTCACTAGGTTTTTCTAAAAAGGGAGTGACTTTTCATGAATTTACTAAAGTTACAATGTATCTAATTATGCAAATTACTAGTATTTTTACAATAAATTAAAAGTGATGGTCATGGTAAATTAATCAAACTTACACGTACTTACAGGTGCCCATGATATCAATACAGATTTAGACATGATGTCTAAGCATGTTGGTGGACACGTTTTTTCCAGTTACTGGTACAATTGCAGACTATTTTTGATAGTTGACACAATTATTGCATTCCAAAATTACACAGTGTCACTGCCACGTGACTATGAGGAACATTGCACAAAGGCAGTGCAGCAATTACATCAACTGTCATGTACATGTACATCGCAGTCATTTTGTGATAACCTTATTATTAAATATCCTTTTTTTTTGCTTGTAGTTGATAATTTATTGAGAGATAATGGCAACAAAAAACATTTTGTGCTATGAAAACATTTGCATTTAGTGACAAGAATCTATTTCCATCAAGCACTATATAGCATTTCAACATCCAATGTAAAATACAGAAAAAGACGCTGATTAGTGTTGAGATATTCATCTCTAGCAAGGATGCCATTATGGCAATAATCATCTCTAGCTAGGGTGCCATTTTGGCCATATTCACCTCCAGCTAGGGTGCCATTTTAGTAACATTCACCTCAAGCTTGGGTACCATTTTGGCCATATTCATTTCTAGCTAGGGTGCCATTTTGGCAATATTCACCTCTAGCAAGGGTGCCATTTTGGCAATATTCACCTCCAGCTCGGGTGCCATTTTGGTCATATACACCTCTAGCAAGGGTGCTATTTTGACAATATTCAGCTCTAGCAAGGGTGCTATTTTGACAATATTCAGCTCTAGCAAGGGTACCATTTCAGTAACATTCACCTCCAGCTAGGGTGCCATTTTGACAATATTCACCTCTAGCAAGGGTGCCATTTTAGTTATATTTCCCTCCAGCTAGGGTGCCATTTTGGCCATATTCACCTCTAGCATAGGTGCCATTTTAGTAACATTCACCTCCAGCTAGGGTGCCATTTTGGCAATATTCATCTTTTGCTAGGGTGCCATTTTGGCAATATTTATCTCTAGCAAGGGTGCCATTAGAGTAACATTCATCTCCAGCTATGGTGCCATTTTGGCAATATTCAACTCTACATGTAGCTAGGGTGCCATTTTGGCAATATTCACCTCCAGCTAGGGTGCCATTTTGACAATATTCACCTCTAGCAAGGGTGCCATTTGGCAATATTCATCTCTTGCTAGGGTGCCATTTTAGTAACATTCACCTCCAGCAAGGGTGCCATTTTGGTCATATTCATCTCTAGCAAGGGTGCCATTTTGGCCATATTCATCTCTAGCAAGGGTGCCATTTTAGTAACATTCACCTCCAGCTAGGGTGCCATTTTGGCCATATTCATCTCTAGCAAGGGTGCCATTTTGGCCATATTTACCTCTAGCTAGGGTGCCATTTTGGCCATATTTACCTCTAGCTAGGGTGCCATTTTGGCCATATTCACCTCCAGCTAGGGTGCCATCTTTATGACTTGATGGATCAAACTCTAAATAGTTGCTCATCATCAGTGTACAAATGTATAAGTACCTGTCACTCAACAGTTCTGTTCTAGTCACCAGGTTATTTAATGAGTTCATTAAAACGTCTCATGCCCTGAATCTGGATGAAATGTTCGGTTAATTAGATTAAAATATGCATGATTTGCATTAAAAAAGTGCATTTCTTTATAGGTTATCAAGGCATTAGATTATACAATAAATGACAAACTTTATAAACTGGCAAGGTTTGTGTTTGTGCTTTGTGTTCCATGGCTGTGAAACACAGAAAATTAGAATCCATTCATACCAGAAATAGTATTTATATTATTCCTCAGAAAACTAGACAAAAGGAGATTGTAGGACATTCATTTGACTTAAATCAGTGTTTTAAATGGCTCTTTCCCAGCTAGATATGTAAACAGACGTTGTATTTCACCAGTTTTATTTTATTACATGCGACATTTCACTCCAGTAACATTACATTACACAACATAGTCCCTGATTAAATTGCGCTTTCACAGTCAAAACATTCTGAACTATGAGTGCGGTTTGAAACCAAGACATTTGCGATTTTTGAATTGTTACACTGAACTCTCAACTAGGGGGCAGGTTTTAATCAGGAAACAGTCATTAATAGATTACCAAAATAATATATTTACTGATTTTAGTTGACAGCAGGATTTACCCCTACTGTGTGTTAAAATTACGTTTGGGGCCTACATGAAGAACTGTGGTACATGTACATGTATATTGTCTATTTTTCCACAGCTTGCAGCGTATTCGGGCAGTATTCATTTTCTGATAACAGTCTGATACTAAGCTTTATTTGACATAAAGTAAAATAAGAAATGTCAAATTTATCAAGTTTTGCAAATATATAAAGGTCAAACAGTCTGATCTGAGCATAAATCATTTATTCCTTTGCTGTCATTTGTGTGATTTAAAAAAAAATGTTTTCATCAGCTCTTATGAATCCAAATTACCTGAGGGATGCAATTTTCTCATTAAAGGGTGGTAGTTGATGCGCCAAGCATGCACAAGATATATGGGTTTCATCAGAGGTACATTACTTGGGGTTTGCAACTCGCATAGTACTGTATGGTGACATCATGTCAAGATCCCATTCAAGTCTCTTCTCGTAGATAGCGAGACTGAGGCTACGACCTTCTGACATGACATATATCAATGTTCAAGGTTTGTAATGAAAAAAATAAACTTTTCTTGTCACCATCATAGTGAAAAATGTAATACAACGAAAATGTACAGAAAATATAGTTCTCGTAATCCGTCATATCGTGGGCAGCTATTTTGATCCACCTGGACATCCCAGTATCCTAGTTACCTTGGGCATGCGCATTCGCATTTTTTCTGAGTTGGAACGCTTATGCGAGAGCGAGATTGTGACGGGATCTTGGTATCATGTCACCGTAGTTACAAACCCCAAGTAATGTACCTCTGGTTTCATATAAACAAAGATGACAACTTTGACTGTTCCGCAGATCAACAAGTACAAAATAGGACATTAATTACTAAGCTTTAATTAGGTATTTTTAGGTGATTGGAAGGCATCAAAGGAATCACTGGTGGCACCCAGGTCAAACCTCGCATTGGACTATGGGAAAATCGATGTTTATCAACACAAGTGTCACACATGCACAGCACAACGACTGTCGCTCTTCAAGCACTATGTCCATCTACTAAATAATATTTTTGTTGATTAGATGACATCAGGATTTACCCCTACTGTGTGCTAAAATTACGTTTGTGGTCTACCCTAATCTTAAAAATTGTTGGTGCTTTCGATTTCAGTGACAAGACGTAAACAGGAAACTGCCACTTAAGTGTCATAGTCAGCCACAATAGCGCCCTCGATCTTCATCTTTTCTTTTACTTTTGATTTCAAGCAATCGCTCTAAATTACGTAACTTCCACGAGGTGACACGATAAGATGAATAACTGCTGAAGTTTTCCGGAGCAATATAAAATAGCTGTATTTATTTGAAGCAGTGAATATGCTGATGATCGCCGACGACCTCGGTTGCTGCGTACGACACGTCGAGTTGTTGACACTGTTTCCCGCCAGTCTGTCACACCGAGACACCTATTTATATCGCGGCCTACGACAAACAATGTGTATTGAATAGTAATGTAATCAAATTTGTCGATTTCATTACACTTACGTGTTAGTGCATTCTGAGAAGACACGGTTGATCAAGTTATCGGAATGAACTTTAAATCTTGCACTGATAGCCATGGGACTAGTAAAGGTACTAGTAGAAGTAGGAAATAGACTGACGTTCAGATGGCTTCCACGCCACCACAGGATACTTTCCATCACAACACAATACTCACCTATTCCATATACTTCCAAACAATATCAGGCCCGACTACTCTCCATTTTGGTATTTTACGCCCTCGGTTCGTCAAGTTTTGTATGAAGTGGAGCAGTTAGAAAGTTATAAACAACTTCCGCCATGTTATGATTCCTAGACTACCCAGCATCCTTCACTGACTTACACGGGCAACTGTTCATAAAAACGCTTTACGTGTAAACAACATATTATTTTCTAGATTTAATGATATATTCAAATGATATCCATATAATTGGGGCTAGTTTAATAAGAATCAATATACTCGGTAAACACTTTTACCACACAATGACTGTTTCAAAATATAATCGAGAGGTTGAAGGTTAGACTTTTATAGTACACTTTTCTGAGTATGGTACTGCACACATCGATCTGATCCAACACAGTACTTCTCTGTTCAAAGTTACTTGGCGAACGTGTACTGCACACTCGCTGTCGATAACACGGATTTTGCATCCTCCCGTTTTGCTAAGCTCGTGCAGAAGATGTCAGGTAAGAGGTGAATGGTGATTTAGTCGATTGCGATCAGAATTTTCATAAAATTCTGTTTTGTTTGAAGCATTGCATAATAATATTTTCGGCGTGGTCGCGATGTGTACAGTCGTCGAAGCTGTTTTGTGTTGTGTGATCGACTCGCGTAGCAGCTTGGCGGCGGTGTAGCCAACTGATTGATGGGGCTTTCCTCGTACCTCATAAACGCCACCGTTGCATTGTGTTTCATTGTTCTTTCTGACGCCGGGGTTTGTTTTTCTTTAAGTGGTTATTATGTCATAAGTAATGCATTTAAAAAAAAAATTCTGCCTTTTTTTCTGCACATACGTTTTACACTTTCACGTAATTTTGCAACGCAAAGTGTGCTTCCAAACATAAACGAATTAACTTGAATGAGCTTCAGCTTCGTGATATTCTAGTTTTAGTAAGCATTTTCCTTGTTATTGTTAAATTTTTAATTTAATATTTTTAAATATATATTTAAAAATGCCTGGGTCGGAATGGGCTCATTTATATAGTATGTAGTAGTAAATATTGGTTCACAGTGCCCCAAAAGTTTTACTGATCTCAGACTGTTATCCCGTTCGTTCATCACAAGAGATTGGAAATGAAAAAAAGGTTATTACCTCCATGCACAGAGCAAATGTATAAAGGGTAAACTTATTGTTTCTTGAACAGTCTTGTTCATTCCCTTTATTTATGTTCTTCAAATTTGTTTTTGTCACTGATGATAATTTTTCAGAATTCAGCAGTAGGTAATATGTTAACTTGAAATATAGCATGTTTTGGGTCTTATCATATTTTAAATTACAATTCTCTAAGAATGCAACTACAGCCACAATCAACATATCAGTTATAATAAAGGAAATATGGTATATTCATTTTTAAAGTAAAGCTGATATGTCTGTATCCTTTATGTAAGTTTATATTGAGGTTATGTCTCCGGATGTAACACATACATTATCAGTACTAATTTAAAATAGCCTATCAAATATGCAAAGTTTTTTCTTTCACAAACCAGTGAATTTAAACACTTGAAATACCAAAGTAAACTTTTGTCATTTTTCCAAAAAAGAAAACTTGCATAATTTGTTTCAATATTGATTAACTAAATTTTTAATCAAGACCTGTAGACAATAAAAAATTATGTCTATTTGTGGTGCAAAATACATAAAAATCTATAAATTGTTGGCAAGAACAAATCAACAACAAAATGTTGACGAGAAAAAATTCTGGCATTAAAAAAAAATTAGTCAATATCCCTCCAACAACAAATCAGCTTTCAACTTAAACCTACTGAATATTTCTCATTTTATATTAACTGAAAAACTAAAGAAATATGAGGTTTCATTTGGTTATAATACTCCAAATTAATTTTTTTGCTGTAAACAGTTTTTCTCAATTCATCCCCGCCGGACATTCTGATTCAATAAAAAAGTGTCAAGAATTTTGATGTTCCCTCATTACTGTTTCCAATAAAAAAAATGTTAAATTGCTTTATTTATGGTTTCTGTCATTTAGTATAATTTAAAAAATCTGCCTGGTAGGAGTATTCAACCACATCAATTTATTTTTAGTAAACTGCTGTATAATATATATACGGAAAGTTTACAATAATTCACGCTTCGAGCGACTTAGGTATTTCTATGGATGTCTGAAATGAATTCAGTGCAAGAGATGTTTTCATGTTAGTATTCCATCGTATCATAAAATGCAGCTCGACTTGAAAGAAATTTGTATTTCAAAAGAGATTGTACTAGCCAGAGGATTTTTACTTGTTTGCTCGCAGACAATTTCAAGACAGTGTATTGTGCAATATGTACAAGTAATGTTGTGCAAGTTGGCATGCTATTGACAGATATTCTTATTGATCTGGGTAATAAAATGACAACTAAATTGCAGAGATTAGCCGAATCTGCATCTGCAATTTACGCAATTTCATACAAGAATGCACAATAAATTTGATTCGCACAATAAAATTTTGCCTATGAAAATAATTTTCGTAACATTTTTGAGACAAGAAGTATTAGTAAAAGTCAGAATTTCATTGGGTGTATAACCTCAAAAAAATGAGAGAACTGCATGGCTGGCTTGCTGGTTGTGAGATAGTTTAATGAGGGCAGTCTTATACATATAACTTCTTTTCTGACAGCCCTTTGGTTTCTAAATAAATACCAGTATGTACGGTGCATAATCCCATGATATTTTCTCGTAGTTTGATGTCAGACATGAGTGATTACAGTCATAGTACCATTAATCCTAGGATTTTATATCACATGCATATTTGTATTTTTCAAATAATGTACTAAATTTGGAACTATTACTGAAAGTACACTGACTATTTTATTTGCTCTATTACAAACGCATTTCTAGTAAAAGCATAAGTAAACCAGAAATTGCATTTACAGACATTGTATGCCTGCTTATTGTTGTTTTAGCATAGACGCATCTTATATGCATTTAGTCATATGCTACTAATACTATGTATATACCAAACATGGAAATCATATAAAATGGTTTGTCATTTTGTCACATTTATTATTACATTGTCACATTTTTCGAAAGCTAAGGCATAACAAATTTATTTTTATCATTTAGGCCAGACCTTTTTTATTCCTTGTTTCGCGAGTTTTTATGACGCTATTTTTTTGAGGAGGGCGGATAAAAAATAAAAATAATTCTTTTTTTTCCCCCATTAGATTTGTGTGATTCTCATCTGCGCGAGACTTTGGTACTTTGATCATGATACTCCCACAGAAATGCAACTTGGGCGGTACAAAAATGAAGATAAAAATAATATTTTTATTTCATTTTCGGCTCATGTTTATTTGGCGGGTTCGCGAAACAAGGGATAATAAAAGTCAGGCTTTATCTCAAACATGTTGATCCAAAAGTCGCTATGTATGACCGTATGCACCACAAAGCAGATCATACAAATATAATGTAGCATGTACCTACCTCATTGCATACAAATATAATGTAGCATGTATCTACCTCATTGCATACAAATATAATGTACCCCGGTAGCATGTATCTACATGTACCTCATTGCAACAAATATAATGTAGCATGTACCTACCTCATTGCATACAAATATAATGTAGCATGTACCTACCTCATTGCATATATCAATCTGTGTTATTTGTATGGTACATGTATATAAAACTATCAGTGTGTTGCATACTGTACAACATTGTGAATGTTTTGAAATAATATCTCATAGATCAGATCTTTGTTAGATGTATCCCATGTTGAGCAGATCCTGGAATGAACTCTTTATGTCTGTCTTGTTTTACATCAAATTGATGTGCATGGAATACCAGGGTATACCAACACTGGAATTGATACACAGAGAGATGCATGGGTGAATAAGGCATGGGTGAATACTGGTAGGGTATGTAGACACTGGAATTGATTCACACAGATGCGTGGGTGAATACTGGTAGGGTATGTAGAGACTGGAATTGATACACAAGGATACATGGGATAACAGAGCACGTAGAGACTGGAATTGATACACACAGATGCATGGGCGAATAGGGCACATAGACACTGGAATTGATACACACAGATGCATGGGAGAATAGGACATGTAGACACTGGAATTGATACACACAGATGCATGGGTGAATAAGGCACGTAGAGACTGGAATTGATACACACAGATGCATGGGCGAATAGGGTATGTAGATACTGGAATTGATACACACGAATGCATGTGATAACAGGGCATGTGGACACTGGAATTCATATACACACGAATGCATGGGATAATAATGCATATACATTGAGACACTTCATATTGTTAAACAGTGAGATATACATTGTACCTATGCAAAAAATGCTACATACATATACTGAATTAAAATGTAAATTATTTTTATTTGAATAAAATTGTATGAATTTGACAATGTAAAAATATTTCTACTATGTAACCTATAAATACTAGAGACAATTAAACTACATTCAGCATTTAGGCTCAGCATATGAGAAATATATCGTTTCCTCATATGTAAGCTAGCATTCAGGCTCAGCATATGAGAAATATATCATCTCCTTATGTAAGCTAGCATTCAGGCTCAGCATATGAGAAATATATCGTCTCCTCATATGTAAGCTAGCATTCAGGCTCAGTATATGAGAAATATATCATCTCCTCATATGTAAGCTAGCATTCAGGCTCAGCATGTGAGAAATATATTGTCTCCTCAAATGTAAGCTAGCATTCAGGCTCAGCATGTGAGAAATATATCGTCTCCTCATATGTAAGTTAGCATTCAGGCTCAGTATATGAGAAATATATCGTCTCCTCATATGTAAGCTAGCATTCAGGCTCAGCATGTGAGAAATATATTGTCTCCTCATATGTAAGCTAGCATTCAGGCTCAAGTTATGAGAAATATATCATCTCCTCATATGTAAGCTAGCATACAGGCTCAGCATATGAGAAATATACATGTATCATCTCCTCATATGTAAGCTAGCATTCAGGCTCAGCATATGAGAAATATATTGTCTCCTCATATGTAAGCTAGCATTCAGGCTCTGCTCAGTATATGAGAAATATATCATCTCCTCATATGTAAGCTAGCATTCAGGCTCAGCATGTGAGAAATATATCGTCT